TTTTTTTCTTTTTTTTTTTTTTTTTTTTGTACTCTATTCATTGATATTAAATTGAACCGAGAGAGAAACTACATCAAATTTACTTTTTGTCAGAGATCATTGCAATATTGGAGTTAAAGAGAGTTTTAAATTGAGACTGAAAGAAAAGTTGCAATTGTTTACTTTTAAGGTGCTATCGTTTGTTGTATATATTACTTACTATAAACGAAAAAAATGTGAGTTTACTTTTGTGAGTTCTTCTTTATATTCAATCCTACGTTCCTTTTATCGACCTTCGATTACTTTTACTTTTCTCTTCGATGGAACAAAGTGCAGAAAAGCGTGAGAAGTTTTTCGAAACAATATCGCAATAATATATTACAAGAAAATGTCAAAAATATTTTCTATTGGATTAAAAAGTTGAAAATCCGTAAAAAGACGACGATTTCGGATCGTTGATCGTCCAACAAAGATCTGTCAACTTTGTGCTGAAAAGAAAGAAACGAATAAATCGCTGTGACGTAATCGACGCCATCTTTACTCTCCCGTTTTTTGCGAATTATCGACGCGCTGATTCTTCTTTCAATTTCCTGCGCACGTTGCGCCAACCGTGATGGATCCAATTTGAAACAGAGACCACGCGTTGGAATATATCCGTTGCGATGACTTTCACTAGAAATTATAGTTGGAAAGCAATTAGAAACTTTTTTCTTTTCGGCCTGCGACACGGCTGAGAATAATATGGTCGAGCAATTTCTTCAGAACGAACGGTCAGTTAATTGTATTTCCGGTGAACTTGATCGTTACTTCTGGTTGTCTTATGATTTCTCTAAATTCTTCATCCCTTCAAGCACGAATTTCGAAGAATTCGAAGAAAGAGGATAATAATTTTTTACTTCTTCCTCTTCTTCTTCTTCTTCTTCTTCTTCTTTTTACGAATACGAATCCCCTCGAAAACGTTTTCGATACCTTGTTCGTCTTGTTATTTCACTTGTTGAAATTCAGTCGCTCGAAAGTCTCGTTAAATTTCTCCAGTATCAAAACTTTTTAAACCTCTCGAAAATCTTACGAACTAAGTTTTTAAAAGTCTCGAAAAACTTTCGATAATTTTTGTTCGCTCTTTTAAAAATCTTAAACGTCGAGATACGACTACTAAAGACATAGAAATACAAAAAGAAAGAAAGAAAGAAAGAAAGAAAGTAGAATTTGAAATACGAAACGAATTGGATATAATTTCAATCTATCGTTAAAAGATATGTAATTCGCTTTCCTCTTCGAACGATATCGCTTGGAAATATCGAGAGTCACGGATGACGATCATTGACTGCGCACCAGGTATGCAATCGAGGAAATATAAATTAACGAGGAGCTGGGTCGTTGACACGCCGGGAGAGTCGCGCGAGATTTAACTCGAACGTTTTTCTCGACGAGGCTTTTTGTCGATTATAGAAAAGCCAAACCCATTCGGTTGTCTCGCATCGCTAATCGCCGAATATAAAAGATCTCGAGGATCGTGCGTCGCAGCCATTTAACAGGTAACATTGGCGATCATCCATCGCGTCTATCGAGCCATGCTGGTACGTTCGTTCTTTCACTTGATTCGAAATAATTGATAATCGAATAATTGTCCCGTGATATCAATCATTTATATCGTCGAATATATTCCAGATTATTTTCGCCGTTCTACTTATATCGACGCTCAACTCTGCTACAGGGGTTGAATTTTTCAGTGCAAGTTTCGCGAGACCGAGAAGAGGGATCGTCGAAACGAGTCACGATGATTCCCGGGACGATAAACCTCGACCGGTCGACGTGGAGAAAAGTAGTCCAAGATCGAATTACAAAAATGCCAAAATTGTAAAGGAGCCTCCTCCAATTGGCTCCACCGATCCCCCAATGTACGGTGATATATTTAAACAATCATCGCCGTACATTATTCCACCGTTTCAGACTCAGAACGTGCCATTACTGCCGTACTCCGATAATTTATTTACCATATCTGCCGGCTACAAAATTGCAAACGACGAGAATTTTGGGAAACCGGTAAACCAAGCAAAGATATACAAGCAGAATGTGGCTGCAGGTAAAGTTTCCAATTAATAATAAATTAAATCTGGCTTAAAGCTTTCCTGTACGAAAGTCGTTTAAATATTTTCATTTTTGGCCTCGTTCCATTTAATCATCGTATTTAATTTATAGCGGAATTTCATTACTTATATCGAATAATTAAAATAAAATCATCATCAAGTTAATCTTTCCTGACTTAATCCGACTTCTTCTTTCTTTTGCAGGTACGAAGCTACAAATTCCAGTGTACAAGACCAACTATCCACAAAAAACGTACGCGCCAATTTTCCAAAACGGGAAAGCGTCGTTTCTCGAAGAGCAGAAGAGGGAACAGTTTCCCTCGTACTTGTCCAATTTGCAGAACCAGCTCGTTTTGAAGCCAACGGTGGAAGACAATCGGTTCAATTTCGGGGAAGCGGGGACGGCCAAGGTAAACACCGTTCAGCAATTGGGCTCGCATTTTCTGTCCCCGCTACCCAGTTTTCAAGGCCAAGTGATCCCTATCTCCACGCTGGCCAACAACGCGCCGTTTCCGCGCTACAAAGGCGCAGCGATCCAGGTTTATCCAACCGTGGCCGGGTTTTCAACCACGGCTTATCAACCCCTCCAGCAACAATTCCAATTTGGCCACGGAATCGTCCAACCTGTTGACAACTCGGGCCGTCCTCCTAGCCCGTCCGAGGAAATTCGATCAGACGTCGAGATAATCGACAAGAAGAAACCTAGACCCCCGCCTAGGAGCGACGACGATGACGGCGATCAAGCTGACGACGACGACCAAGGTTCGTTAATCGTCGATTATTATTATTATTATTATTTATTTTATTAATTTATTAATTTATTTTATTAATTTATTAATTTATTACTCGTTATCGTCTGATCTTCAGTTGGAAAATTTGAAGAGAGAGAGAGAGAGAATAAAAGCGATTTCGTTCCCGTTTGAACAGGTTATGTTCCTCCCGAGAGACAGTACGAGGCAAATTCACAGGGCGATAACGATGATTACGAGGTTAAGAGTTTTAAGGCGCCGCCTGCGGAAGGTGACTTTAAGCCTTCCACGTCGTTTCCATTCAAGCAATACGACGAGAAGTTTGGCAGATATTCGAATCGTGATAAAATCGGGGGGGATGGGAAATCGGTTTCGAAGAATCGTGATTATTCGTCGGGCGACGATGACGACGAGGGCGGGTATCGATCGGAGGACACCTCCTCGAAAGCTTTCTACGATCGGCAAGAGGAGGAAGAGGGTGAATACGATGACGTGGACAAGCCGCGTGACTACGAAAGACGGAAGACGAAGGAGGAAACGTCGGGGGATGAGAATGCGGCTATTAAATATTACGATAAAAATTTCGACGGGGAATCGGATAAAGTGAAATTATCGAAACAAAGTAAGCGCCTTCCTCTGTCCTTATTCTTTTTTTTTTTTCATAAACAAGTTAATTACTGATTTGTACGATAAATTGTATAATTCAAGAAGTAAAACACGGGTCGTCGAAAGGAGGGAGGAATGTCTACGAGGTCGAAGATCCTTCGAGCGAAGGAAGCCAAAGGAATTTCAGGTATCACAAAGATTCACGGGATGCCGGAGGTATATATAGCTCAGTACCTGAAACGAATGTATACGAAGGAGGTTTTGGATATAAAATACTCGGAAGACGTACGGTATTATAAAATCAACGATTCAACTGCGTTGATACTCAAAGTACAATTATATCTGTTCCAATTTTTGTTGTGTTATTTGTATCGTTACGTTTGTTTCTGTATACATGTATATATACGTGTCACATAAATCTACGTTATAATAATTAAACGATTCATTTTCATTCAATTATTACTATTATTTACATTTCACACAGAGAAGCAAATAGAATTTTCAATTTGAAGAAATGAATTTTTGACATCCATTAAATAAATTGAACGATTTAAGATACATGGCCAACCGGAAGTATTCGTGGTAATTAAATTTCTACGAGTTTCTCAAGTAACCAGTCTTCCGCCGGATAATTGTACGGCAAAGCTATTGTCATTAGTCAATAAATATAATTTTGTCGCGATACTTCTATTTTTACATTCACTCTTAATACCCTTAATTAATCTTCCCTTAATTGCATTCGAGCGTTCACTTACAAATGAGAATCACTATATATATACTCGTTCCTCTCGAGCTGGACAATTCAGTATCATCGATAACACCACTCCACACGATTCTTCCAATATGAAGATCACCTACAAGGTAATCCATATTTTCAGTTTCTCAAAAATCATAAAATCCTCTCTTTGATCCCCGTGTATAAATGATAATTTAAAAAAACCTTTTTTTCAGATCGTCGTTGTCTTGGCTTTGGCCAGTATCGCGAGGCCAAAATTGATATCGAAAAGGGGAAAAAGAAGCGTGGTGGGACCGTCCGGCTACGACTTTTTTGGGGTGGCGCCAATCTTCTCTACCGGATCATGGTTACCACCCACTGGGTCTGGACCCGCTCCCTGGAACCCCTCAGGGATACCCGACATACCTTTGACACAAGTTCAGGTTCAAGCCACACACGACGTTGCTATTCAGGTACGATGACGTATAGGTTAACGATAGCACGATCGAAATGGTTTTTCTTTTTATTTTATTCGCCTCGTTGAATCCTCTCGGTCGAAATCCAGGCATTGAAGGATCCGGTTGACGGAACCCCTAGCGTCGCCTATCCTCCAGACGTATTGAAAGCTATTCAACAGGCTAAGGAGGCAAATCGGAACGTAAATTGGGCGCAACAAAAGGTGGCAGAGGCAAAACAGACTACTATTATTCAGCAGAAAGTCGCTCTTGCTAAAGAAGCTGCTGCGAGGGAGGCTGCAGCGAGGTATTCGATCTTTCAGTTTTTAATCTTTATTTGGAAACGAGAAATAACATTTTTTTTTTTGGATTAAATAAAAAAAAAAAATGTTGATACGCTAAGTAATGTATATGCAGATATATGCTATACATTCTGAATAACAGTACCGAAGCGCCATCTCTCGAGAACTAGACCGAACTAGAATACTAGACGATACTTCTCGAAACGAGATATCAACGAATTCATAATCCTTTGTTGTTTCTATATACAGATCACAAGAAATTTCATCAGCTGCCGAGGCAGAGGCAAGAGCGAGCGCAAAACAATTGGTGGCCCTGCAACAAAGATTGGCGTCGTTGAAAGATGCGGTCGCAGCTGCCCAACGAGTGGCCGCTGCGAGGGAAGCAGCTGCAGCTGCCGCCATTCAGAGGAACGCCGCTGCAACGGCTGCCGAGTTGCAAAAACAGGACGTCGACAAACAGATTAGCCAAAGCGAGCAAGAAGCGAAGGTATGATACGTATTCAGAATCGCGTTGAGTTTCGAGTGTGGAGACAAAAGGCACACTTTTATTTTCAGGAGAAAGATATAATAGCGGCCAAGGAGAACGCTGTCGCGAACGCCGTGCAACTCGCGGCATTGCAAAAATCGTCGCATCACCCTTGGGGTCGATGAAACTCTCCCTTCCTCTTCTTTTTCTTTTTTTTTTCAATTTTCTTCTTCATTCAATAACCACCTCGATATTCCCTCGTTACATTAACGAATGTAATCACGGTGACGGTTTGTTCTTTTTCAATACTTGTTACATACAAAATAAACGTTTTCGTTATACAATATAAACAAAATCGATCGATTGATTAATCGTCCACCGCAAACCGGAGGAAAATGGTGAAACGTGTGCAGAGACCGATAACCGTTACCTCCCAAACCATTACCTCGTTTAACCTCGTTCACCTTATTCAAATGACAAATCCTTCCTCGAGCGAAAGATTACTTAACAACGTTCGATCGTGGCACACTTGTGATCAGAGATCTGCGGCGAATTAGATCGGTCAGCGCTTCCTTTCACGAGAGGTTGCGGTCAAACGGGGAGGTCGGAGGTCAGAGACCCCGATTTCGAGATTTCCTGGACCTGGCGTGAGACAATGGTATCGGCCGAATGGTTGTCGCACGGAAATGGGAGTGAAAGTGATCAGCGGGGTGAATTCGTTTCTTTGATCGAAAGAATGCGAGGATCGGCGTGTGTCTCGAGCCGATACACAGGATCGAGAACAACGATCCGATTTTTTTCCCTTTTTTTTTTCCCCCCCTTCAAAGTCACCGCTCGTCCAATCTACGGTATCGGAACAGTATCGGAAATTTCCTTTCACCCGCCTCTCTTTCTCCCATATCCGTAACACCGCCCCTTTCTCCCCTCGTCCACTCCGCGACCCTGTCAGCCTTCCACGAATCAGGAGTAATTACGTGGGAAGAAAGTACGTTCGATCAAAGTCACTCTTTCTCGGCTTTGGGCGTCTTCCACGTATTTGCTCCTTGACCGTTCACCTGGATAATGGATCTTTCTGTCACCGCAAACAGGAGAGAGAGAGAGAGAGAGAGAAAGAGACATCCGCGTAATCATTTCGAGGGATGCACTTTATTACCAACGTTTATAACGTAAACGAGTAACGTAACGAGTGACGTTTCTTCGAAGATTAATTTTTTTTCTTAATTTAGAGTCAAGGAAAAAGAATGAACTTAAAATCTTATGGATTAATAATAGGTTTTGTATTAATAATATCAGAAATATTTCGTTCTCGAATAAAGATTCGTGGAACGGATAAGAGAGTGCTGAATAATAATAATTAAGCTTGTAAAATTACCTTGCTTCATCGAAAAAAAAAAGAAAAAAAATTGGAATAACCGAGTAACTATCGGGTAAACACGATTATTACAACGAGACGCTTCTTTCCAACTGATCGATGTTTTTATCGATTCAACTTTTTTTGGGAGGAGGAGGGAGGAATTTACTCGCTTTTTGCCTTTTACCTCGCCTAGTTTTAGTTCTGCTTTCCTTTTTTTTTTCTTTTTTTTTTTATTGCGCGTAAGATCGCCATCGGTGAAACTCGAGCCGTAACTCGAATTTTTCAATAATCGGTGTCACGAAAGCGTCCCATCTCCTACATCTTCTCGATTTTAAAAAGTTAAGGAGTCTTTCTCAACAACGTTTTGTTGTTTTTCGCAAAGAGGAAAGTGGCATTGAAAATATATAGCGCGATATTTCCGTATCCTCGCTCTTGTTTTCCATTCCATTCAGAGCTCGATTGCTACTACGTCGCGCGAGAGAGAGAAAGAATTTCATTTCCCAAATAAGGGAAAACGGAAGAGTGGAGATCCACGAATAGGAAAAGAAATCGATCCGAACGAGCGTTCAGGATCAGGATTGTTCGCGATTTGTTAGAAAACGATGCGTTTCGACGGAATTCCTTGGAGTCGAATTGCTCCTCGACGGAGCAGGAGCCTGGTCATAACATATTAATCCAAGCGAAAGTGAAAATAATACAAATCGTTTTTTGCTACCAAAAACAAAGACAAAAAATAAAATGAAATTACGCTAGGAGGGAAAGCTTGGAAAGAAACTGAATGAAACTCCTCAGTGTACAACGCCGCGTTACAACGATCGATCGTAACTTCCAATTTCCTCCGCGGTTTCGAATCCCGTGACGGGTTGACACGGAAAGTAAAGTAAGATGCTTACTTTGCCAGGAGCAAGAGCGCGTTTCGAGTTTCGACCCATATCGATACGTAAACGTTTCTTACGGTGTTGGTATATACGAGCATGCAAGTCCGGTTTCCGAGGAGAGAGATCATCCGCGCCTCCCGGGTAGGGAGAAAGCGTATAAAAAGGATCGGTCCATGGACGAGCTCTCGCAGTATCCGTATACGTTTCTACACCCACTGCTTCATTGGTGGTTCGAAAAAATGCTTCCTTGCTCCCCTGTAAGTAAATCGAGGAAGGGATATATTACATGGATATTGAATCGCGTATATGAGGGAGGATCCTACGAGAGAGAGAGAGAGAGGAGAATATTTCGAACTCGCCCTTCGAATTCGAACACCATGAACACCACGGTGAAAAGTGACTATTCGCGAATAGTTCTTTCCTCTATTCCCCTCGGTTTCAATGCGTATTTATTCGCGACGTTATTCGTAAACCAATAGGCAAACCTATCATCCGCGGATACTTTTATACTCGAGATGGAAATTACGATCGTGGACGTATACGTGTGATTTATCGAGGTATCAGTTGACCGAGTTTAGAAAGTGGCAGCTGCACCGAAACAATTGAAATTTCGAATCTCTCTCTCTCTCTCTCTCTCTCTCTCTCTCTCTCTCTCTCTCTCTCTCTCTCTCTCTCTCTCTTTCTCTCGCCCCCACTACCCTATCCTCGTCCGACGAAACGGAGAGTTAACCTCGATGGCGGGTCTTCACCCCACGAATAACTGATAAATTATTTCAGGTATTGGTCGCGCTTCTGCTTGCATCGCGATCCGTGGTAGGCAGTATCGAGAGTAGTTCCGGAGGTTGGCAGGGGTAAGAGGTTGCTTCGCTGCTACGATGAGAGCACACGTTCTCTATATCGATTTTTAATCGTCAAACAGGATATCGGGTAGCGACTATGGAACGGGACACGGGGTGGAATTGGTCGGGCACGGGTTGTCCGGTTACGGGGGCGGTGGTGGTGGGATCGGTCACGGGTTGTACGAGGGACACGTCCAGCATCATTACGCGCCGGCAATACCCGTCAGCCAGCACGTGGAGATTACCAAACCTGTGCCCGTACCCGTTGTTAAAAATGTCGGTAAGTTGTTGTCGTTGATTCTGTAATTCTTATCTCGATTTTATCTTCTTTCATTCGTATGAATCTCTTGCTTCGAAAGGATCTAACCCACGAAATTAGAGATTATTAATTGCACTCCATCGAGGGATTATATGCACAGTTTTCGATTTTCAAATGTGAGTGGATATATATCTAACCGAGTATTCTATCGTTAAAACTCTCTCTCTCTCTCTCTCTCTTTTTTATTTCTCAAATTATCGAAACTTCGATAACGGATGTATCTCGAGGTACGATAAAAATTCTTCGAATAGCAGCTCAATTAGGACTTTCTATGCGACCACAGGTGTGCCAGTTGCTCAACCAGTGGCGATAGGAGTTCCACATCCGGTCGCCGTAGGAGTACCACAGCCTTTTCCAGTTCACGTACCGGTCGCGAAGCCGGTGGCGATCCCCGTGGTGAAGACTGTGGCGATCCCAGTGGAGAAAAAGGTTCCGTTTCCCGTGGAGAAGGTGATACCTGTCCCGGTGGAGAAACACGTGCCCATAACGGTGGAGAAGCACATACCGGTCCCCGTGGAGAAGCCTTATCCCATTCACGTGCCTGTGTACAAACACGTGTTCCATCGGGTCAAGTCTCACGGTTACGGGTGGACCCATTAAAGAAAACAAACTTATTTTATTAAGGATATTACGCGGATGTAAACGGAGAACGTAACGTGTATTCAGACCGATCGCGTGTCGACCGATTTACTGAGAGAAGAGTAGAGACGATGGATGATCTTTCTTCGACAACGAGTCTCGTTTTTTCGGTTACACTTTGCTCGAGCGTAAATCGGGTGTGAAGGGAAGGAACGCGACGAGATGAGATTCTTCGCGCAAGAGGGAATAAAATAGCTATTCTTCGAAGCTATTTCCCCTCGTTCGTTCATCATGGTTCATCGTTTGTATATTTATGATTTCGTTACCTTGTTGTACCAAATAAAAGATCGATTATTAATCAAGAGATGTATTTATTTACACTTTCCTCCCCCGTGTAACAGAGTTAACAGAATTACTTGATCGATTACGCGCGTGGCGCGACTCTCTCTCTCTCTGTCTCTCTCTCTCTTTGGATGAGTCAGAGTCACATCCATCAAAATTAAAAAAAATAATAGATAATTGTTGTTACTGGTATACCGAAACGAGAGGAAGGATCCATTTATTATTTTCTTGCTGATCGATCTCCATGAGTGATCAGGCGATGTGTCACGATCGAATAGAAATTATATAATTAGGAATAGACTGTTTTCATGTAGATACGCACTCGATACGCGATGAATAATCGAAAGTTGTTTGTATAGTCTTGGCTATATTTGAGCATACGAAGGTTTATTTACGTCTGTGTAAATTGCCACGCATAATAATTCTTGCATTTTTATATAACAGATAGCCGTTTGATTAAATAAATGTTGATTTCCGAGAGAGAGAGAGAGAGAGAGAGAGAGAGAGAGAGAGAGAGAGTGAGAAGGGATTCAAGTCACGACACCTCCTATTATTATACATTTTATACGTCTCGTAATTATCATAATTTTCTGGATAATAACGAACAGATAGCGCGTTTCGTGCCTCAAACTGCGTTCGTGTCTTGTGAATCTTCGTTATGCTCTCTCCACAAGCTCGACTAAATTCAAAAACAAATAAGTGGACTAGATTGTAATGTTTTGGTAGGATCTTGATATATAAGATTGTCATTTGACGATTAAGGAGATTAAATAAATAACAGAAACGACTTTTGCCAGATTCTTTGTAATGGTGAGATAGTGTAACAATAAAAAGAAATAATAATAATAGTATTATATTGTTGTAATATAATATACAATTTGGAAATTTTTTAGATGAGAGAAGTTGAATTAAGAAGTTAACGAAGCTTGCAACTTTTTAATTTAATCAGCTAATGTTCTTCGATACAAATTACAAAGATCTGTAATAATATAATGTGATATTTTATTAACAAATATGGATATGAATCTTTTTTTTAATTTTTCGAGATAAAAGATAAAATTGACCAAAGAATTACTCCTATATAAATTTAACTTGTTTTTTTTAAAAATGTGTTTTAAAGTTGTTTTTAGTTTGCCTTTCGTTTTTTTAAAATTTTCAAGTTTTTTTTTCATGTTGATTTTTGTATACTTTTAAAATTAGTTTTTAGATTATTTTTTCCAATTTTTTTAAACATGCTTTTTATATTTTTTTTATCCATTTACTTTATTTTGCTTATTTATTTTTTTTTTTATATTTTTTTCATTTTTCCATTTTATATTTGTATGCGCTACAGGAAATCGGATGTCACGTGTATTACCATGTGCACACACGAAACGTGTTCAACCATTAGAAATTTTCACACGTGCGACATGGCATATATTGGAAATTCGCTAAACTACATTATTCTCTCTGTAAAGGAAAGTAGTGTTAATTATTCAATAGAGGAAAATCTTCTTGCACTCGAATTCAATTCGAAATTCATAAAAATATAATCAATCAGGGAAAGGGAAGGAGCGTACACTCAAGATCACACGTACTCGAAATCAAAGCGAACGAATTCGTGTTGGAGAGAATTTGAATAAAGATTGGATCGATGCTATGAGTGACAGGCGGTGATGAAAATTGTGAACGTACGTATTGTGGGCCACTCACCTACGAATAGGAAAATGTTTAATTCGTATGGTGGTAAGAATGGCCAATACTTACGACGTGTTCGCCGAACCGATGCCAGAGGAAACACCGATTTATCGCAACGGACTAAACTAAATCGCCGACAGTGAAAGGCCCGATGGTATATTAAGACGAGCAATGAGCAAAGATGTATCAGTCGTTTGAAGAAACTTCTGCAGCCAGGTGTACAGTCGAATACTGTCTAAACATGAACAAGATCGTGAGTAAACAATACGAGTATAATCACATTCGCACGACTCTTAGGCTCGACGAATAACCAATCGACCAGAAAACTCCTTCACACCTATCTCTTCTTCCATTTACCATCCATACAAAAAGAAGAATTTTAAATCTCCTTTTAATCATCGAGAATAACCAAATAAAAAATCCAAAACCAAGTTCATATCCATAATTCCCTATTCTATCCTTGAAATTCACGATAACACGAAGGAATAAATACTTTCATCTTCTCCAAAGTGATAAATTTCCAATTCCAATTCCAATTTAACGATCGTTCGAAGAGAATTGTATCATTTTTTCCAAATCCTCCTCCATCCAAGAGCGGTCAATCAAATACCGTTCCATTCGCCAACTTAAACTTCACCTTCACGCAGGTGCTACTTTCCCTGGTGTCCTTGGCCGCGAGCGTGCCAGTGATCGTGCAAGACCACCACCAACACTTTCAGCCTCAACTTCAAGGTGGTTTCCACCCTGTGGAAAGGTCTGACCAGGAGAGTCTGGGCACGTCGTCGGGCGGTAGTTACGGAGGCGGGGGTGACTACGGTGGCGCGGGTGAATACGGCGGTGGTTACGGAGGAGGGGATTTCGGCGGGGGCCACGAAGCCGAATTTGGCGGGGGCCACGGCGGGGGCTTCGAGGGATCTTCCGGGGGGCATTTGGAGGTTGGCGGTGACCATTCGGATTACTCGTCTCTGGGAGGAGGTGGCGGAGGCCTGGAAGGTGGAGACGAGGGTGGAGTTTCATTGGACGGGGGTCATCACAGTGTAGTGCAAAGCGTTCCAGTGTCGGAGCACGTCGAGGTGACCAAGCCTGTGCCCGTCAAAGTGGTCAAACACATCGGTGAGCCTTTTAGAGGAATTTTCTTTTTGCGATTGTACATTCGTTATCACGTTGTTGTTAACGAGTTGTGGCTACTTTAATCGATATTATTTTGTTATTGTTGTTGTGATTACGTGTGTATATTTAAGGAATTTTTTGCTCCTCAGGGGTACCAGTTCCTCAAATCTTGAAGATAGGTGTACCCCATCCGGTGCCAGTCGGTGTTCCTCAACAGTATCCGGTAGCGCATCCGGTTCCAAAATTGGTCCCGGTACAAGTGGTGAAGACGGTGGCCGTGCCTGTGGAGAAGAAGGTCCCTTTCCCAGTTGAGAAGCATATTCCAGTGCCTGTCGAGAAGCCGATCCCTATCACGATAGAGAAACACGTGCCGGTGCCTGTTATCAAACCGTATCCCATCAAAATACCCGTGTACAAGACGATCTATCACCACGCGAAGAAGCATTAAAATTTAAAATTCGTTAAATCGTTTTAAAAATAATACGACTGATACGGCTGTACACGGTTTTATCGCTTCCAGGATTTCGATTCCGTATTGAACGATCTCCGATGGAATAGCGATGAATTTTTCAACTTTGAGGCTTTTTTTTATTTTCTTCTTCGTGTATATAGTATATATATATATATATATGAAACATTGTTATCATTGTTGTATGTTTTTATAATTTTATAATTGTTATTGTTTTGTTGCTTTACGTTTTCAATAAAAGAAACATTTGAGAAGAGAAGATTGCGTACGCTCTTTGATCAAAATCAAAATCGATCACCCGTGATTTCAATTTCACAGTTCATCGTGCACGTTAGACACGATTGACACGTTCCATCCGACTATCCGTCATCGATCTTCAAAGAACGAAATTATAGAGTAGAATAATTGCACCTTACGTATTTAATCTGTAGAAGCTTTAGAGATACGCCAAGATTCGAGACGATTGTGAATATATTTTCCGAAGAGAAATCGGTTAAGTCGAATTGAAGGAACACTTTCCACTCGAGATGATAGATCGAACGAATTTTTTTTTCCGGGAGTTGGCGGTCATCGCACCTCGACGATAGATACATCGAGGCTTAACGCGCTCGAGATCGTAATCGAAACTTTCACTCGCATTTTCGATGCATCAGCGATAGATATTCCGTGGAAAGTGAGCGTTGGGAATGCACCAGTTCCAGGGATGAAAGGAACATTTGATCAGGGTAAATGAACCGTGAAAACAGAAAAGGAAGTTCGTCAAGGTAATCAATTAATAATCCTTTATGTCCATCGTTAAACGAAATTAATAGGAAGTAGGATGATTATCGTATAAGCATAAATTGATTGTGGATGATTATTATAAAACTGTGAATTTTTATGCAAGAACAACGAGCAATTTAATTTTTACGTAATTAATTCGTGATTAAATGTTGAAATAAGTATTCATTAAATTATTACAACCTGTTTCGAAATGATGCGTTTAAAAGCAATATGCGTCAGATGCGAGGCTATTATTATTGAAATATAAACTGGCTGTACCGGGAATAATTTCGTAATTTTTTAATTAAAATATCTTCCGAATTAATTCCTTTTTCGTAATAAACGTTGGGAGAATCGAATAAACTTGTTAAAAAATATATTTTACTTTAACGAGAAATTTATTCTCCTCTATCTCGATAGAAAAGATTAATTATTATTTATATTATAATTTAAGAAGACATGTTCCTTTGGTCATTTTCAAATATTTAGAAATATTTAGAAATATTTCTCGATATAATTTAAAATTTATGTAATAAATTGAAAAAAATATTACGAACGTCATTACGAACGTATCGAAGCCAATCAATTAAAATTAAACAATTCGAATCGATATTAATATCGATAATAAGATTATATAAATTATCCTAATCTCTCAACTTAACTATATTCCTATAACCTAATCTATTCTAATTTATCTAACTTTTGCTCCAACTTTTTAATATTATTCTAACCTATTGATCCATCTATTCATAAAAAAAAGGAAATTTTAACTAATCTTATCTTAATCTTTATCAATATACATGATATATATACATATACATATACGATGATTATAATTAACAGCAATTTAATACGATAAGATAAGAGTACACATATTGTTATCAATACTCGTGCAAACTCATTAATATATAGCTTCACGCAATCTACAATTCATTTCTCAACCGTATCTTTAAACTTCATCGTTTTTTTATTATCCCACTTTCATGATCATTCGCTCACGATATCCCAGTCATCGTAGCGTATTTTACATTTGCAATTAATGTATCGGGTGACTAATCGGTATCAGGAAATAGGAAGTGCTCGATCATAAAACGTAGCCGATGATAATACTCGTTCGAGCACGATCTACGACGCGTAGATCGATCTCGTTCCTCGTTGCTTTTCAGATTGGCTTTAGAAAGGATCGACGGATGAACAATTTTAATCATCGGAGGGGGGATTCGAGGAAGAAAAGAAAAGAAGAAAAAAAAAAAAAGAGTTGCTCGTCGCTAGGAAGATGGAAATCCTGGTATTACGTAACAGGTGGCAGACAGGTACACGTATAAGGTGTTTGGAGAAATGTAACACGATAGTGAACGCGTCGAATAGAATTTCGCGGGGATGGTGGGATTGCTTGTGTCCCTAGAGCACCTATATAAAGTGTATCAACGCCGACAATTCGTCTCGAGTTGATCTCTTATTCACCTGGCCTTCGCGCGCGTTGAATACTTCGGGCTAAGGGAAAACAAAACAAACCAAAGAAAAAAGAAAAAAAAGAAAAAGAAATGGAAAAATTCGTACGTACGAATTTTATTAACGACGATCGAGTCGAAAAAATTGTGAATTCCAATTGGAATATATCCAAGATATTTTTTTTTTTCGTTCAAGAGGAACTGTTTGCTTTAAGGTTATAATCTTGATGGCCGCCGTCTCCTGCCTGGCCGGGGAATTGGAATTGAGCGGTCACGGATTTGGCGATCATGGATTGACTTTGGGAGAAATAGCAGTGGGCCACGAGGGTGGAGATATCGGCTTAGAGGAAATAGGTTTGCTCAACGTTTATATACGTGTCTTTTTTTTTGGAGGGGCTACGTTATACGAGATTCATTTCGCGTTTACTTGTCAACAGAGGAACACGAAATTGGGGAATACGGGGGGCACGGTGGACATTACGTACCTATTGTGAAATCGATTGGTAAGTTTTAATCGTCAACGTGAAGATTCAATTTTTACATTCAATTTACGTGAATCGCGGAAACAGGTGTACCGGTTCCGAAGAAGGTTCCTATATTGATTCCGAAACTGGAGGTTGAATCCGTTCCACAGAATTATCCAGTTCCCGTAATCGTACCGAAACCCGTTCCTTACCAGGTGATTGAGCGCAAATGGAAAAGGTTTAATCATCACATGGGAAAAATTCTTTGTTAATGTTTGTTTTTTCTTCTTTTTTTTTTTTTTTTTTTTTTTTTTTTTTNTTTTTTTTTTTTTTTTTTTTTTTTTTTTTTTTCGTCTGTCATCCTCTTCAGGTGGAGAAACAAGTGTTCAAGAAGGTGGAGAAGAAGGTGCCAACGCCCATCGAGAAAATCATTCCGGTGAAAATCGAGAAGCCGGTCCCATTCCACGTGGTGAAGCACGTTCCCGTCCCCGTGGTGAAGCCTATTCCAATTAAGATTCCAATTTACAAAACGGTGGTGCATAGCCACAAGGGCCATTAACGCGTGTGAAATTGCGTTGTTGATTGTTCTTCGTGTTAATCGTTGTTGCACACAACTCATCGTCCAAATTATTCTTTCCCTACCTACGTTTTTTTTAACGTACATTTGCATTTGTACCATCACGTATCCCATCCTCGTAATTTTGTGCATTTTGAAATTATTTATTTCGCAAATTTCGCGTGTTGTTAATTATCGTCGTTTATATTTCATTGTTGTAAGATTGTTGTACGTTAATAATAAAGTAATATTCGATTTATTCCAGATTCGCTTTATTTATTCACACTTATTAATGATATTTAATAAAATTTAATCATTCCATTACGAATTCATTGTGAAAATAGCTTCATAAATCATTGATTATAATATTTCCGTTATAATATATCCATCTATTAAATAATAAAATTGTTTTCAATTCATTACACGTGCGAATTATTCATTAACGCGTAAATATCATTTAAAATTGTAATGTCAATTAAATTGTTAGAACAGCAATAATTGTGTTTAATCAATAAATTTAATCGATTAATCATTAATTACGTATTTCATTTTCCATATATTCTATCGAACATCGAAATTTCTTCTTCCACGATTTGTTCCACGTAATCCACCATTTCGATCGGAACTGCAATACCAATTAAACCCTGCAAGAAACGTGTCTCCATTGAATACGTTATTTTCCCGATCATGGCCGTAAATAAACAGGAAGCTTTGTGCCGCGATATTACGTTAACGGAGCGTTACGATTATTGGATTTGCGTACTTCGCGACAAGCAAGGGATGGAAGAGGATGGGGAGGAGAAAGGAGAGCGTTCGAAGCGAAAGTCATCGCAACGATTCCTTTCCTCTGTCACTGACCTTTGCAAATTCGATTGTGCGACGAGGAATCCTCTACTCCGAAGAAAATATCAACGCTCACCACAGAGTTGAGAAGTGAACGTGGTAGATCGAGCATAGTTGAAATTCTCGTCTCAAGATAATCGAATAACGTCGAAAAATGAAAAAGCAAGTTCAAAGTCGACTTTCACTCTACGCTCTGTTTTCTCTCCCTCTCTCTCTCTCTCTGTCTTCGTACAATTTCGAACATCGAATATCAACGAAATGGCGCAGGATCGACAGACGAAATTAAAGCAAAAAACTCGGAAGAGTTGCGATGGAGTGAGCGCAGTCCGAGTCTCCTTTCTCTGTCTGAGAAGATTGCATTAGCATAGATGAAAAAAAAAAAAAAAAAAGACCGGAAATGAAGAAAAATTCGCGGAAGGAGAGTGGGCGAAAGTGTGGCGTAAAAGTGATGTGCCGTTTCGTTGATCTTGGCAATTACGAACTCGTGGCAAGGGTGGCACCGATGCCAAAAATGGCGTCGTTGAAACAAGCGTAAGAGATTCACCCAGTGATAATGATATATTCGTCAATGTATTATTTTTCGCTTGAGAAAAAGAAAACTTACTGTACATTATTAGCTTTATATATTATTATAGAACAGTTTGAAAATAAATAAAGGATCGAGTAATTGTTCGCAGGAAATTTTAATTAATAATGTTAACAAACGACATTCTCCGATACTTCCGACTATGTTTTCCCACTTTATTACCGCGCTCGTTATCCGCTCGTGATAATCGATTAAATTATCCTGTAAAAAAAAAAAAAAAGAAATGTTCCGAACGGGTTGCTTAATTACCCGTTCACAGCGGCAGGACTTCCTCTCACAATTCCTTTCGCATGCCTCTCTCGACCATCTTTTTCCCG